TGTGTGTATATATATCTCCTCAATATATGTTTTACTCTATATGCATCCGAAAAAGAGGGCTGTAGAGCACGCAAGCTTATGCTCTAATAAATTTGTTAGTCTCTAAGGTGCCACAAGTACTCCTGTTCTTTTTATAGAAAGACTAGAAATGCTAACTTAGAATTTACTTAAAACTAACAATTAAGAACTAACAATGACGAACTAACAATAAACAAGCTGAACCTGCCCAACATGGAGGGTTGCCCTATGATAGGGTCTGAGCTCTAAGTGCCCTTCTTCCATGTCCAAACTTAACTTCCTCATTCACAAAATGTTAGGGTACACTTACTCTATAAGCTGTCATGGTCATGCATATTAATGACATATTCGTAACTATTAGAAACCATCAGCTCATCCTCACTTCTGTTATTTCTGTCCTAACCGGTTATTTCCATTTTCTTTGTGGTGTACCTGTTAAGTCTGAAAAAGGCCATGAACTTGGGTGGTCTTACCTACCAACTTGCTTTAACCTGCCCACTTATCTATTGAAATTCACAAACATATATACACTGTATGTTTTAGCTCATCGCAACCTATCTAAGATAAAGGTCTCAAACAGATATATGTTAACTTGCCTTAGCTTAACATACTGGATGTTGCTTGTAGGTTCTTTGCATTATAGCTAAAATATTCTAATACAAATTGATAAACCTATTATAATAACAAACAACAAACCTATAATGTAACAAACGATTAAACTCATAAGAAAAGATCTATATGGAAGCAAGCAAGCAAACTAGCTCTATAGGCTACACCACCTAAGGCCAGGAGGCCTGTGTTGCTCTACAGTCTGCCAGAGCTAGTACATTAGACTCTTTACTGCTTGGCCCTGCCACAGGGCCAGAGCCCCCTAGACTGTTTGGCACCCCACCCTACCTGAGAGCCTGGGCCCGTAGACAAATTACTGCTCTGCCCTGCCTGAGGGTCAGAGCCCCCTAGACTGTTGGTGTTCCGCTGCCTGAGGGCTTGGCTCCTAAACTATTTACTGCTCTGCCCTGCTTGAGGGCCAGATCCCTAGACAGTCTGGGGGTTCACCCTGCCTGAGGGCTTGAGCCCAAGAGCCTGATTACTGCCCAGCCCAGCTCAGAGGCCCTGGATGCCAGAGACAGCTAATTTCCCCCTTTTCAGATTGCCTTTCTAGGAACGGGACAGTAAGGAGGCATGGCCTCCATCCTAGATTGACAGGGAAGGATGGCCACACACTCCTACAGTTTCCATGATAAAAATATCTCCCCACCACACCCAGGAGTTTTCAAACCTAGATTTAAAAAAAGTCATTGCATGCTGACATTGGGCAGAAAGGTCTCAGGGTAGCAACACATGTTATTACAATAGTCAGATGCACCCTGCAGCCCAGAGCCTGTGCACCACATCCACTTAAACACTAGAAGTAGGGCTTTAAATGCTGCATGACCCTTAGGCTGGCCTTCCACTTAATGCTACCCAGTTGAAGTAGGTGCCAAAGTACAGATTTAAGTGCCTAGCTGGTGAAAAACTTTGGAAATTCCCTATACCAATTAACCCGCAGCTCCTCTCACAGGCTAAAGGCAGTTGCAAGTAGGGTCCCATGAGACTACTTTTCCTCAGGGAGCCATATTCTGATTGGTATAAGGGAAGGCATGCAGGAAGTAGCCCTCAGCTTTTTCCTCCACATCTATGTATGAAAACATAGAATTTTCAGAATGCCTCCATCCAATTGCCTTCTGAAACCCTACCCTTTGCGCATTTTGGGTGGGAGGTGCATTCCATATATGCCATCACAGAGTTCCCAATCCCCTCTGTGGGGTTTTCCTGCAGAGGGATTTATCTGATGCCAAAGGACATATCTGTAAAAGGTCAAAAGATTCCAATTATTTTTCATGGGAAATTAAAAATAATTAATCATGTCCTGTAATTCTTTTTTAATTTTTTGACATTCATGAAACCCAAACCCAGAAATTGTTTTTTGTTTTCCCAAAAAGCTTTCATTTTCCAGTGTTGGTCAAAAAAATGGAAAATTATAACTAAAATGAAAATTTTCTGTGAAAAGTTTTGTTGTGGTCAAGAAGCCATTTTTCATTGGAAAATCAATGTTTTGATGAAAAAATTGCATCCTGTTCTGATTACATCATCCACCAATGAAATGTAATCACCTCTGGTGTGACAGCTTTGGAACAGCCACAGAAACATTTAGTTTAAGATGGGAACTGAAGCAGTATCAAACTCAGACAGTAGCAATTTTTGGAAAGCAAAATGCTCTTATGTCTAATACGATAGACCATGACAGTGCTTTTAACTTCCACTTTGAATTTCCTAGTCTGCATTGTTCTGCGTCACAAAGAATTTATCTTTATTTTTTGTTGTAATAATGTCAGTATGGCTAAGCAGTGCACCATTTCATCCTGTGACATTGCAAATAATAATGGTTCAAGCCTGCTATATTAAAGGGCAGCATATAGTGCATTCTACGGCTAAATCTGCAATTGGAATAGTTGTTGTCCTTTAATATGGCAGTTATATAAGGAACAGCCATAAAATATCGATTTTCCTAACACCAAATTTGCAGTAGTTTTATGTTGTTATAAACTTTTAAGTGCCGTGAGAGATAATTTATATGATCTATATGAGACAGTTAGAAAATTCGGTGATAAAAATGAACTATTGATTTCAGGAGATTCTAATTTAGGTTAGCTCACTTAAAAGCGTAATGAACTAAAACACTCTGCAGAGCTCATATTTTGAATGACTTATCAGGGAGTTTAAAAAAAAAGCCAGCCACCTTTGCCAGCAATAACTAACTGTAGTAGTAGCCGAAGTCCCATATTTTTGCTGGGCAGGGCTTTCACAAATAATTCAGGCAAGTATTTAACAACTATTTTTATTTATTATTTGTATTATGGTAGCACCCAGAGATACCAGATAGGATTGGACCCCATTGTAGTGTTCCTAACACAGACACATAATAGAAGAGAGTCTGAAGAGCTCAAGTATCAGAGGGGTAGCCGTGTTAGTCTGAATCTGTAAAAAGCAACAGAGGGTCCTGTGGCACCTTTAAGACTAACAGAAGTATTGGGAGCATAAGCTTTCGTGGTTAAGAAACTCACTTCTTCAGATGCAAGTAATGGAAATCTCCAGAGGCAGGTATAAATCAGTATGGAGATAACGAGGTTAGTTCAATCAGGGAGGGTGAGGTGCTCTGCTAGCAGTTGAGGTGTGAACACCAAGGGAGGAGAAACTGCTTCTGTAGTTGGATAGCTTTTCTCAGTTTTTTTTTTTTCATTCTCTGTTGGTGTCGAA